AATAAAATAAAATAAAATAAAATAAAATAAAATAATAAAATAAAATAAAATAATAAAGTAAAATAAAGTAAAATAAAATAAAATAAGCAAGCACCTTTAGGGACCGAAGGGGGCGCGATTTTCATCCTGATGTCAGGACACACATTTTATCCCTTGCGTGGGGTGGGGGGAAACCCTTAGGATTTACCCTTTTAATTAACCCTCTGGACCATTTTTGATCTCCCTCCCCAAAAATCCCCCCCCATTTCTCCCTTTGTCCTTCGGTTCCTGCGGCTGCCAACCTTATTTCACAGCCCACAAAAACCTTCCCTCCATGCTGCAGAGAGCCAGCAGAGAAGGGCTGTTTCAATGTGATTTCTCTTCCAGATGTAAAATGCGGCCGTGACCTTTTTATCTTCCTATTCCATCTTGTGCTTTTCTTTTTTTCCTTTGGTGGGGGAGACGAGCTGGAGGCCAGCCACCCACCCCCAAACATCCTCACACACACACACCCCTCGCCCCGTCCATCCTGCCTGCGATATAGTCAAAGCAAGAGCGATATACCCTTGGCAGTGGAGCTTTGTGGAGCTGAAAAAGAGCTGGCTCCCTTGAAGCCCAGGCGGTGAATAGACCCATCCTTAATTAGCAGGGCTTCCATTGGGGGAAGCTAATGAGCAGAAGCAGAAGGAGGAAGGTCATTTGGGAACTTGAGTGGCCGGGTGCTCCAAAAGAGAATTGCCTCATTTTCTTTCTATTTGTAAACTCTGAGCCATTCCAGCAGTCCTGAATGAGCAGATCTGTCAAAAGAAGAAAAAAGCAGAGAAAAGAGAAAATTAAAAAAAAAAGGGGGGGGGGGGGGGGGAAATTGAGTTATGGAACAGTTTTTAAAGAATATCTTTCAACAAGGCACCGAGAAAGAGAGAAGAAAAGAGCCAGCCAAAGGCAGAAATGGCCTGTCTTTTGGCTGTCTGTTGCAGAATTGGCCATTGCCGGAGCCTGCTTCCCTTGCCAAGCTCCGTTTGAACTGGCCTGGGGTGGGTGTGGGGGGTTTGCTTTGGGCAGCCTGCAGCGGTGCAATCGTTACCAGCCTCGGGCAATGATTTAATTGGATTAAGGAAGTAAAGAAAGAAAAAAAGCTTGCCCCATTTCTAAGTTGGCAGCAGGCCATTCGAGCCGTTTCAATGACCCACTTCAGGTTTTCTGCTTTTGGAAGGGAGCGTGGAGTGGCCTTTTGCACCGTTGGCCCACAATTAGGGAACACCAAATTGCTTCCCATTGAGTTCAACAAGAGCAACAAAAGTTCCACTGGCCTCTGCCTTTTCCTGGTTAGTCTGGTGAATTTTAGACATCTGTTCAGTGCTGGCCATTGCTCTAAAAAAGGGGTTTTTTTCTCAGCCTTGGGAACTTTAAGCTGGGTGTTAAACTTCATCTCTCAGAATTCCCCAAGCCAGCATGTCCCGACACTCCAAAAGTATGCTCCAATTTGCTCCAAGGGCAGCGTGGCTAACTGGACAAGTGAAGTCCACCCATCTTAAAGTTCACAAGGTTGAGGAATGTTGCTCTATATAGCCTTGCTTTTAATACTTCATGATTGATCTTTTTAATTTAGACATGGCGGTTCCCACTCCTTCATTAATAAGTGACTGAACAGCCAGCTCTTGAGAATAAAAGTCCACATTCTGGATGGAGAGGACCATCGGTTTGAAAGAGGGGTAAAAGAGGCCATCTATGTTAAATTGAGTAGCCCTCTCTCAACAGAGAGTAGAGTATGATACTACTCTATTTTCAATCTCATTGTACACATGTTGTGCATTGACAATAAATGTTTGATTTGATACCTATCTCCTGTCAGCAATCCCAAAAAGATTCCACACCCATTTGCTCTCTGATTCAGGGGGGCTTGAGGGCACAGATAAACCCCCAAGTGGCCTCAATAGTTCTCAGAGAGAGTGCTAACAACCAGAGGACTGCAAAGAAACACGATCCTTCCATCCCCACCAAAATCCTGCCAGAACTGATGAAGCTTTCGTGGTGTGGAGACAATAACTTGGTCCTCAACACCAATAAGACCAAGGAGCTTATAGTGGATTATAGAAGGAACAGATCAGACATCCAGCCCTTGCTTATCAAGGGAGACTGAGGGGAGCAAGTGGCCAGTTTTAAGTTTCTGGGTGTTACCATAAAACCACCTGACCTGGGGTGCTCACATTGCAGCCCTGGTCAAAAGGGCCCAGCAGAGATTATTACCTGAGACTTCTCAGCTCTGAATGAAAAACTGAATGAAAAACTGCTGGTGACCTTCTACCGCTGCACCATAGAGAGTATCTTAACTTGCTGCACCTCTGTATGGTTTGCCAATTGCACAGTGGCTGATAGGAAAGCACTCCAGAGGGTTAATGTCATTGCCCAGAGGGTCATTGGTTGCCCTCTCCCTTCTTTGGAAGAGCTTTATAGCTCCCACTGCCTTAAGAAAGTTCAAAACATTCTCAAAGGTCCATCTCATCCTGGGCACCCTTTTTTTGAACTATTACCATCTGGCAGATGGTACAGAATAATAAAAACAAGGACAAATAGGCTGAAAAACAGCTTCTATCCCAGGGCAGGAGCTCTGTTGAATTCTGCTGTATAGTGCAGTGTTGGTGTGGTGTCAGGGTTCTCGGTTCAATGTGTGGAGTGTGAAGGATGTGTGTTTGTGTTTATTTTCATGGTCATGGTCATGATATGCACTGAAGATGGTGTTTGATTTCGTTGTACGAGGTGCAATGACAATAAACTAAAGTAAACTAAACTAAACTTCTTGGATGAGAAGTGAAATGTCTTCAAGGAAAAAAAAAACCAAGATAGTCTAGTTGCCTTTTGAAAAAGCTTTTTGGAGACAATCATGACCTGGATAACCGAGAATCCTCATAAGCACTCTTGAGAATAGGTTACAGGTATTCCTCTGCTTATGACCACAACTGAGACCAAAACTTTGGTTGTTAAGTGAAGTTTTTACTGAACTTTCTTGCCACCATTAAGGGAGTCACTGTGGTTAATAAATTACCTGGTTATTAAGTGAATCTGGCTTCCTCATTGACTTGGCTTATCAAAGGGTCACAAAAGGGGATTAGATGACCTTGGGACACAGCAGTGGTCACAAGTGTGAACCAATTGCCCAGCATCTGAATTTTGATCATCTGATCATGGGGATGCTACAAAGGTGGTAACTGTGAACAGTGGTCATAAGTCAAATTTTTCAGCGCCATTGTAACTTTGAACGGTCAGTAAACGAACTGTTGTAAGTTGAACATTATCTGTACTTGGTTTTCCTACATATGGCGAAAAGCTGGTGATCCTTCAGGTCCCTTCCAACTCCACTTTTCTATGTTTTTTATTGCTTGGCTGAGTAGGGATTCTACTACCCCCCAAATTTAGATCACTGTGGACCAACTGGGATAGTTCTGGGAAACCAGATCAAATGACCTTTTCCCAGATCTGTTGCACTTTCATAATTTCCAACGGGCAGGATGCCAGGACACCAAGAGTTCAACTAAACTAATTTTTTTGCTGGCTTTTGCCTCTTTTTGGCATTTTCTTCAGTAACCGCATCTCTGTTTTAATCGGTCCAGTTCCCGGACAGCTTTATGAAATCAGGCTGGTGGCATTCAACAAGCATGAAGAAGGCTATGCGGCCGTGTGGAAAGGCAGGACAGAGCGAGCACCTGTCACCGCAGCTGGTAGGTATCCTTTCTTTAATTGTTGATTATTTAAAAAAAAATTTTTTTTGCAACTGCTTTCAAACATAAGCTTAACATACTCAAAAAGTGGGGTTATTACCTGTTAGGGTGAGGTCCCTGGGGGTTCTCGGGTTCAGGAGAGCCCCTAGCTAAGGTTCTGTGCAGTTCAGAGGACCCCCAATTCCTGGGGCTGACCTCATCCACCCCACCCCGTCTTCTGACCAAGGCTTCCTGAGACAGTAATTAAGCACATGCTTAGTTAAAACAATTCTTGTTTTATTTCAGCGCTGGGAATTATGTTCATTCCCAGCCTGTAATGAGTTCCAAACAGTCCCTCAAGATAAGCACCCACCTTTCTCTCCTTTGAATTGCTGCCAACAACTAGAGTGCCAAATTAACTATAAAAAAACCAACCAAAGTACAAAATTCACACAGAGCTTCAAGGGTTCATCTGAACAGAGCGAACGACTTTGCTTCCTGCAAAGGTTTCTCTACCTTTGCCTGTCCTTTATACCTTAGGGGTAGGGCAATCACCTCCAAGCCTTACTCCTGAGTCACTCCTTTTGTCTTAGCTGCTCTTGCCTTCTAGCAGCTCTGCGCACACACTCACTGGGAACAGGCTCCCCTTGTTCCTTGGCCTCGCTGCTGCCGGACTCCGAAGACTCCGGAGTCAGCATCCCACTCCCAGATGGTCCTGGCCCCATCTCTGCATCAGAAGCAGGACCCTCGTCTGAGTCCTCTCCTGACTCCCAGACTGGTCCCCGTTTTTCCCCACTGTCCGATTCCACTGCTGTCTGCACAGGCTGCTGGTGAACTACATCACCCTGCCTCCCCCCAGGAGTCCCCACGCGGCCCATTTTGGATTGAGGTAAGTGCAGGGCATGCACGGAGGCTCAGGGAGGGTGAAAAATAGGCCCATTTCCAGCTTCCAAAAAGCCTCCGGAGCCCAGGGGGGCCGTTTTCACCCTCCCCAAGGCTTGAGGAAAGCCTCCGGAGCATGGGGAGGGCAAAAACAGCCCCCCCCGCCATGGTGCAGGAGGCCGGCTAGGCCACGCCCACCCAGCAATCAGGCAGAGAACCCCTTGCTAAAATTTTTGAAGCCCACCCCTGGTTAGGTCATAAGTCATAACTCCACTTATGACCACAACTGAACCCGAAATTTATGTTGCTACGTGAGAAATTTGTTAAGTGGGTTTTGCCCCATTTCACAACTTTTCTCACCACATTCGTTAAGTGAATGATTGCATTTCTTCAATGAGTAACACGGCTGTTCGGCGAATCTGGCTTCCCCATTGAGTTTGCTCGTTAGAGGGTCGCAAAAGGGGATCACGTGACCCCCGGAACATGGCAACCGTCATAAATGCGAGTCCGTTGTCAAGCATCTGAATGTAAATCACGCGACCATGGGGATGCTGCAACAGTCATTAAGTGTGAAAGATGGTCATCAGTGACATTTTTCCGTGCCGTTGTCACTTCGAACCATTGTAAGTCGAGGACTACCTGTAGTTAGATCTTTGGATTTGCTCGTTTAGCCACACTTGGGTTTTCTGAAAATAAGTACTTTATGGTTGCCTGGGGAAAAACATGGCCACCATTTTGTAAGGGAGAATGCCCATTCTTTTGACAGCTGTTTTGTGAGAGTTTCCACAATGTTGTTTCTTTGAACTCCGAAGAATCCATGGAGCATTTGATGTGTAGAGCCCTATGACAGGAAACCTAGATGTGTAAGCAATGGCTGTTACTGATGCTAGTCCTTCCACACCTCTATCCATAACTCCAGATGTATTTTTTCTTCTTCCTCCTTCTCTGCCCTCTTCCTTTTCTTCTTCCCATTCTTCTTCTTCTTCTTCCCCTCCTCCTCCTTTTCCTCCTCCTCTTCTTCCCCTCCTCCTCCTCCTCCTCCTCTTCTTCTCTTTTTCTTTCTTTCTTCTTCTTCTTCTCCTCCTCCTCCTCCTCCTCCTCCTCCACTACTATTACTACTACTACTTTTCCTCCCCTTCTCCTTCTTTTTCTTCTTCTTTTCCTCCTCCTCTTCTTCTCTTTTTTTCTTCTTCTCCTTTTTCTTCTTCTTTTCCTCCTCCTCTTCTTCTTCTTCTTCTTCTTCTTCTTCTTCTTCTTCTTCTTCTTCTTCTTCTTCTTCTTCTTCTTCTTCTTCTTCTTCTTCTTCTTCTTCTTCTTCTTCTTCTTCTTCTGCTTCTTCTTCTTCTTCTTCTTCTTCTTCTTTTCCTCCTCCTCCTCCTCCACTACTACTACTACTACTTTTCCTCCTCCACCTCCCTTCTCCTTCTTTTTCTTCTTCTCTTTCTCAGATCTTCCAGTTCATAAAGGTCCCCCACCACCTCCTGGGCATCTCCATGTCTATTCCAATAGTTCCACAACGATTTCACTGCGGTGGAAGAAGCCCAACTTCACCACCGTGAAGATCGTCAACTACACAGTCCGGTTCAGCCCTTGGGGGTTAAAGAATGCCTCGCTTGTGATGTATTACACAAGGTAGGAGCATCCTCGGGAGAGTAGGTGATGTCACAAGGATCGTGATACATTGCCCAAATGAAGTTATGGGGCGTGTGCTTTTCATTGATGTGTGGTCAACAGTTGCAAGCAGAACTAAAGTGGGAGCTTTTCTTACCAAAGAATTAAAAATCGACTTTTTCTTACTAGAACCACTCAGATCATCTAGTGAGCAACATTTATGTTTTCTCCTTCATATTACAGTGTCTGTAGAGATTCTCGGTCATCCAGGTCCTGGTTGTCCCAAAGCTGCTTTTTCAAAAGGCAACTGGACTTTGTTTTGTCCTTGAAGACGTTTCGCTTCTCACCCAAGAAGCTTCTTCAGTTGTGGGATGAGAAGTGAAACCTCTTCAAGGAAAAAACAAAGTCCAGTTGCTTTTATATTGCAGCGTTTAGTTTTCTCTTTTGAGATATTCAAGATACTTTAATTTTTCTTTTTCATGCACCTGACTAGACTTTCTAGATAGTTGTGAATATATGAAATGGGTACATATAAGAAAAATAAAAGAATAAGAGAAACAATAGGACAGGGACCAATGATCAACCCAGAGAAATCGCTTTGGGTAGTTGTCAGATTTTCTGACCCACCAGATTTTAATCTGTTTTAAATCTTAATAAAAGCTAAATCAGAAGCTGGTAAAACCCTAAATTCAGGGGTGGGATTCTACTGATTCCAACTGGTTCTATAGAACTGATTGTTATGATTCTGCACAGAACTGGCAAATCGTGTCCCTGGCTGGCTCTGCCCCTCTTCGCCCGCCCCTCCTCTCTCGGCCCAATCACTCCTTAAGGTATTCCTTTTTGAACCCTCCCGACAATCAGCTGTTCCGGGATCCCCCTCGCTTTGCCCAGGAGGCTTCCCTGAGGCCCGGGAGGCAAAAAATGGGGGGGAGGGAGGTTTGCTGCAAAAAAGGAGAAGAAGAAGCCATGCCCACCCAGTCACATGGCCATGCCCATTTAGCCACGCCCAGAGAACCGGTTGTTTAAAAAGTTTGAATTCTACTCCTGCCTAAATTTCTATCGTTCTACGACTTTACCACTCAAAGGCTGCCAAAATCTGGTCAGTCTTTGAAGGACACCTGTTTGTGTGATCCTCCACCCCTCCCCTCTTCCATGAAATGTGACAGCTGAATTTTAAAGCTGACAGTTTCATCCTCGCGTGGGAATTTGTTTTCTTGTCTGTAGCTCTAAAGAGGACATTCTTATCAGCGGCCTGAAACCATTCACAAGATACGAGTTTGCAGTACAGTCCAACGGTGTTGGAATGGACAGTCCGTTTGGAAACGTGGTGGAGTGTTCCACCCTCCCAGACAGTAAGTAGAGGAGCATGAAGGGTTTACCTGAGAATGGGATGGGATGGGATGGCGATACGAAGGAGGTGCTTAAGTTTAGTACGACAGAGAGGTGTCCTTTAAAAAAAAACACCAGAAGATTCTAGTATTTTATTTTATTTTATTATTTATTTCATTTTATCATTATGCATTTTATTTATTTTATTTATTTCATAATTGGTTTTAGTTTAGTTTATCTTCATTTTTTATTTCATTATTTTATTTTATCATTATGCATTTTATTTATTTTATTATTTTAATTTAATTTAATTTATTGTTTCTATAGTCACCCATTTCAACAGGTTTATATGTAAGTCTTTTCTATATCCAAATACCCTCAACAGTTGCTAGTACAGAGAAAACCAGTGAAAATCGGAGCAATTACAAATGAGAGATTTTTAAATATTCCATCCAAATGAAGGAAAAATAACTCATTTTTTAAACTCATTTTTTGTTTCAGTTGTATTCTTTTCTTTGCTACTATCAAAAAAGTCCCCATTCCTAGCCTTCACCTGCTTTATCTCCAAGAGATGTCAACCTCCAGAAAGTTTGGTTGTTTTTATTTATTTAGACAGGTAAAAAGGTAGATGATAGACAGACGGATGGAAGGATGGATGGATGGATGAAAGATGATAGATGATAGATATGTAGATGGATGGATGGATGGGAGGGTGGGTGGGTGGGTGAGTGGATAGGTAGGTAGGTAGGTAGATAGGTAGATGAGAGTGTAACACTTCTTTTATTATATCTTTGTTCATATCTGGCCTTAGGACTGGACTTGATTTGATTTGATTTGACTTATCAGGATATCTGGGGGCGGGAAGAGTTACAGAGACTCAGCCAGATCACCTTAGGCCTGCTTTCTGTCTCCTGCTGCCTCTGCTGTTCTCCTGCAGGGCCCTTCACTCCCCCTTCTGACCTGCGGTTACACCCCATCAACCCATATGCGGTCCAGCTTCACTGGTGTCCCCCTTTGGAACCGAATGGCATCATTGTGGAATACACCATCCTCTACAATGCCAACTGCACCCAGCCGGATGAGATGTGGACTCTGTTGACCAAAGAGGGTAAGCACTGGGTCATTAAATGCACAAAAACACCCAGGGTTGCCTGCAAAAGGAGCAGGGGGTGTCCAAAAGTCAAGATGCTGGCCATAATTCTGTGATCGAAGTTCACCTTTTTAAAAGTTCAATGAAAAGAAGGACCAGGGATGACATAATAGCGGTGTTTCAAAATCTCAGGGGTGGCCACAAAGAAGAGGGAGTCAAGCTATTCTCCAAAGCACCTGAAGTCAGGACAAGAAGCAATGGGTGGAAACTAATCAAGCAACCTAGAACTAAGGAGACATTTCCTGACAGTGAGAACAATCAGCCAGTGGAACGACTTGTCTCCAGAAGTTGTGGGTGTTCCAACACTGGAGGTTTTTAAGAAGAGACTGGAGAACCATTTCTCTGAAATGGTATAGGGTCTCCTGCCAGGAGGTTGGACTAAATTAGAAGACCTCCAAGGTCTCTTCCAACTCTGTTATTCAATATTCCAATGAAACTTCCCAATTCATTCAGCACTCAAAAACAAAGTTCATCTAAATAAGAATTTATTGAAGAAGTCATACTGGCACATCTGGGAAAACCCGAATCTGAGAGTTCCGAGTTTTCCCTTCCCAATAGAAATTCACAAACCCATCAACCGCCAGTCCATCACATGGCCCAATCAACCATTGTCCCAACTGGAGATATTCCACCAGACATTCCTTCCCAGGCACAGGGTGACTTGTCCTTGACTTTATGAGAAGAATGTTGTTGAGTCTCATCTTCTACCACTCTATGCAGTTCCCCCCTCCCAAATTCCCAGGCACCCAAAATGTGTCAGCTTTGGAAGCCATATTTTACTTTGGAGCTTCAAAGCTGCCATCCTTCAGGTGGACATTCCTGGGGAGCATATGGGTCATCTGGGCAAGAAGAAAGCAGCTTCAACTTGCAGCAACCCTGGGGCTGGAATGTTGGAATCTGATGCCACATCGAGAATTCCTCTCTTCTTCAGGCAGTATCTTCAGCGCTGAAGTTGATGGGTTGCAGAGCGACACCAGATATTTCTTCAAGGTGGGAGCCAAGACGGTTGTAGGATCAGGACCATATTCTAGCGTCAAAGATGTGCAGACCTTGCCAGAGGGATTCACAGGTAATGACTGCCACCTTGAAAAGAAGGGTCCAGAGTGGGACAATGTGCCGCAGACAACTTGGTGTAGCGAACTCACCACCAGACAGCTTGTCAACGGGCCAACTCACTGCGAGACAATTTAACAATTCTATTTAATTATTTAAAATAAATAAATAAAATATTTTACTTTTTGCCAATCCCATTTCATTTTGTCCCTCTTTTTTCAACCTTTCTTTAATGATTCCATTCCACTATTTCTTTGATATTGGTGTAACGAGAGTGACCTGCAGTGAGTTTTCCTATGGCAAGATGGACCTAGGAGGGTCACATCACATCTTTCATTTGGCTCCTGAATTAATCCTTGTTGTGGGTTCCCATGGTGCAGAAAAATACTCCAAGATGAGTTTGTGCTATACATTAACCTGCAGACAGGGGCAAAACCCAAAATAAAAACTAACGACAGGTAGTCCAAGACTTATAGCTTCCGTTGGGATCAGAAGTTCCTTTGCTAGGCAAGAGGGTTGTTAAATTAGTCATGTCTGATTTTTATGGTCGTTAAGCAAATCTGACTCCTCCTACAATATAGTTTGTCAGAAGCCAGCTGGGAAGGTTGCAGATGATGATCACATGATCTTAGGATGCTACAACCGTCAATTTTTGATCATGTAACTGTCGGGATAGTTGCAAGCGACAGAACTGGTTGTAAATCACGTTTTTTCAGTGCACTTGTAACTTTGAAGGCTCACTAGTCAAATGATTTTAAGGTTAAGGTGCTAACCAAAGGATGCTAACAGAGCTAAATGTACAAATAAGTCGGGGAGTACCTATACATTTGGTGCCCTGAGCCTTGAACAGTGTTACAGTCAGTGGTACCTTGGTACTCAGCGGCTTTAACTTATCAAATTGGGTACTCAACACATTTTGATGTGAAAATTTTGCCCCAGTACTCATCGTTTGTTTGGTACTCAATGCACAAACTAGAACTTACCGGTGTCATCTGCTTTGCAACTTACTACATTATCCCTTATGGGGGGAAAACGGTTTGGTACTCATCGTTTTTTGTATTCATCACACCTCCCAGAACCAATGAAAACTGAGTACTGAGGTACCACTGTATTTAAGCAAGTAGAGTGAAGGAAGCCTTGTGGATCGGTGCTTGGTGTACCATGATGAAGGGGAGGTCACCCCGACTGCCCAACCTCAAAGTGAGGAAGCTGATGCCTTTCCAGAGTGATCCAAACTCCCAGTTCTCTCCCCTCCCCATCTCTCTCCCTCCCTCCCTCCCTCCCTCTCTCTAGGAGAAAGAGGAAGTCTTCCTCTCTGCTTCCATGTTCTCCTTTGTCCTTCACCTGCAGATATCTTAGTTCATTCTATCACCGGAGTCACGGTAGCCATTTGCCTGCTCTGCATCGTCTTCTGTGCCTGTGCCAGCTTTCGCAACAATTACCTGAAGTAAGTCTTGGGTTGATGTGTTGTCTCCCAGAGCATTGAGCCCAACTGCTTGCCTTCTTCTGCCCCATTTGGCTTCTGCCTGTGTTCAAGAGTGGACGTTGTCAAAGAATTGTGGAGTGTGGTTTCGATGGTATCCTATCAAGATGCATGTTGGGAGGCAATTGTTTCACCTTTAAATGCCCCGCGCTGTGAAAATAAGGCAACCAAGCATAAACTAGACTCTCATGTCCCAAAGGTGCTTTTCAAAAGGCAGATGGACTTTGTTTTTTTCCTTGAAGACAAGGAAATGATCTGTCTTGATTTAACAACTTTGTTCCAACCTACAAGTAAGGAGAAATTTTCTGGCAGTGAAAAACAATCAGTGGAACAGCTGGCCTCCAGAAGTTGTGGGTGCTTCACTGCTGGAGGCTTTTAAGAAGGGATTGGACAGCCCTTTGTCCAGAATGGTTTAGGATCTCCTGCCTGAACAGGAGGATTGGACTATAGTTTTCTAAGGTCCTTTCCAACTCTGTATTCTGTATTCTATATGATGGTAATGATTATCTAAAGCAGAGGTCTCCAACTTTGGCAACTTTAAGACTTGTGGACTTCAACTCCCAGAATTCTCCAGCCAGCTATGCTGGCTGGAGAATTCTGGGAGCTGAAGTCCACAAGTCTTAAAGTTGCCAAGGTTGGAGACCTCTGATCTAAAGGAAGCATAAGGCCACTAGATTGGAGAGAGAATTGGAGATTAAGGTAAAGGTTCCCCACACACATACGTGCTCATCGTTTCTGGCTCTAGGGGGCGGTGCTCATTTCTGTTACAAAGCCGAAGAGCCAGCGCTGTCCGAAGATGTCTCCGTGGTCATGTGGCCGTCATGACTAAACACCGAAGGCGCACAGAACGCTGTTACCTTCTCACCAAAAGGGTCCCTGTTTTTCTACTTGCATTTTTACATGCTTTCGAACTGCTAGGTTGGTAGAAGCTGGGACCAGCAATGGGAGCTCACTCCATTATATGGCGCTAGGGATTCAAACTGCCGATCTTTCTGATCTACCATTCAGCGTCTTAGCCAGTGAGCCACCGCGTCCCTTTTGGAGATTAGAGGTTTGCAATTAAAACTCAGTACAAGTAAGCCATCAAACACAAATCAACAAAACTACAAAAACACACACATAAAAAAACACATTTCCATCATTCCTGAGCAGGGAAAAATAACATCATTCCGAGCAGCATTGACTAATATCATGATTTCCTTTACAGGATTGTGATCAGTCTGGGATCAGTGTCTACGGAGCTGTCATTGGTGAACAATAACTGTCTCGTTCCTTTCTGTAGGAAATCTATGCCTGGTTTGGATTCCCAAGCTTCAGGAAGCCATGTGTACCACCACCGGAGCCGACAGGCAGCGCCCCTCTCGGTGATCCCTTCAACTTCCCACGAAATGGAGTCCCTCATGGCTCCCCTTTCTGACGGCGCTCCTTCACCTCCAAGCGATTGTGCAGAGCTGACTGAAGCTCATGGTCTCATCCATGGTCATCCTCTGGAGGACAATGTGGGCCACCTCCCAATAAAGGTACGGCCAAGGTCCTTTTGTTGTGTTCTTATGGGATCCCGTTCTTCTTATGGAGAGGAAGATCCTGTAGATTGTCTATTCCCAAATAGCAAAGGCGGCTGCTCTGTGCACCTTTAGTGTGTAGCCATTGGTGTTATTCAAATCTTTTTTATGACTGGTTCTGTGGGCATGGCTTGGTGGGCATGGCAGGGGAAGGACACTGTAAAATTCTCGTTTTCACCCCACTCCAGCGGAAGGATATACTGCAAAATCTCTATTCCCTCTCCGCCCCCACTAACCCACTTTCTAGCTCCATTCTCCTGTGCAGCAGGGATGGTTTTTTTACCGGTTCAGTCCGGTTCTGCTGAGCCGGTAGCGCTGATTCAGTTGTTGGGCCCACCCGCCCGCCCAGGCTCCCATGCTAAACTTTATGTCCTACTTTTGAAGCGCAGCTGCTTTGCGCGGTACAGAAGAGCTGCTGAAGTGACAGAGTGCAGGATTGCAGGAAGTGAGTCAAAAAGCGTCTGCACCTGCTCAAAGTGCATGTTTGGTGCGTGCTCACGCACTCGCAAAATGTGTGTGTGCATGCAAAACACACCCACCAAGGCACACCCACCGAACTGGTGGTAAAAAAAATTTTGAAATGCACCACTGCTGTGCAGGCAACAAAAGAAAACCCAGCTGAGACTCTGGAGGCTGCAAATAGATGGGGGTGGGGCCAGTCAGAGGTGGTATTTACCTCTGAACTCCTTATAATTTCTGCTACTGGTTCTCCAGAACTGGTCAGAATTGGTTGAATACCACCTCTGATGCTGGTCACATGACCACAGAAGTGTCCTTAACATTGGGTCCTTAAGAAACAGAAATGAGCACTGCCCCCTAGTGTCGGACATGACTGGACAAGGGAAATCTTTACTTTTACCTGTTATAACTTCAGGTGGCTGCTGAACAAATGATGATTAAGTCAAGGGCTACATGTATTGCCTTCCATTGGCCCTGCCCCCTTTTTTAAACCCCTCCCACTCCTTTGCCCATTTAGAAGGTCCACTAATAACTTCAAGTCCAACATTTACACATGTATTGTAAGCGCAAATGCACACAGCGACTCTAAAAGCAGTAAATCCTGCCTGCGTTTGTGCAGCCACTAGAGGGAAGCAAATACACTGCTGAAAGTTGAAAGTTGACCTGCTAAGACATCACTCTGTGTGTGTGTGTGTGTGTGTGTGTGTGTCTGTCTGTCTGTCTGTCTGTCTGTCTGTCTGTCCGTCCTGCTCTTTGCAGTTCGTAGAGTCAAGCAGGAGACTTTTCCACCTTGAAAGTTGTTTGCAAGCACATACGCGCACGTACACACACACACACTGCTCAGTGGCTGCATTTCTTTTTAAAAATGGCTTTTGTTTTTTTGACTTACCAGAAAAAGAGAAAAGAAACAGAAAGTGAAACCAGACAAAATATTGCATATACGAAGACTTCTCATACATGTATATATGCTTCTATAATTTTTGAACAGTCACAATTTAGTTACAGTATCCCTCTGCCTCGAACTTTCAAGTTGTGTTACTATCCATTATCCTTGAAGAGGTTTTTGAGTTTCAAAATAAAGCAGAAAATGACCAGCACTCTTTTTGCAGGTCCAGAAACTACAATACCTCAATTTTATACCTTTTTCCAAAGTATTTTACCCCTTTTCCACCAATTCAAGATACAGGTGCTTAACTTTGAAACTCTAAATTCTTTGAACCCTGATTGCTCCAGTCTTCCTATTTCAGTCTTCCTTTCTAATGAAGTTGTGTATTTAAAGTCTTCTGCTGAAGTTGTTCTTTTAGTATCTTCCAGAAACACAATAGCTGTCAAGTAAAGGGAATGAAAAAAAATATAATGCTGTTTTGAGAGGGTTTTTCAGAAGCCATGTTGTGATTTTCCTAGCCAAAGCCTTTGTGTTCATCTAGGTCCTTTGTCTTTAAAATGAAGCTGTGATCATGTTGTCCTATGTTATGCTGAAAACTCTTGTAAAGCACTGTCAAATTAAAATCAGAAGGAAGAGCAAATAAAATAGCTTTAAGCAGATAAATGCCAGTGTGGGATTAGAGATAATGTGCTTTTTTCTTTTGATTCAGCAGCCTCCGTGGGAGAAATCTCTCAACAGCTGGACAAACAGCATTGCTGGCTACGGAGTCCCCATTCCAAAAGAGCCCACCATGACTTTGAATGGATCACTGAAGATGGCTTCCAATGGAGGACAGAAGCTCTTGTTGCAAGCTCTGGTTTACGAGGTTGTCACGGTGTGTATTCCCAGCAGGGAGACATTTTCTATCCTTAATGGGATGGAGACCCACCACTTAGTTAAAAGACTAACTATGGTGATGGTGAAGTTCTCTTAAGATGCTCAGCTTCACTTATCATACTCGTCTGATTTATCATGCATTGAGCAGAGCACTGTTTTCAAGCGCTGCGCGTCGTTTGGTTGTTTCTGCTCTGGATTTTGTACATGGCCCAACAAAATAAAATAGCGAAATAAGCTCCCAGCCTCTCCCGGTGGTTTCCTGGTTTTCTAAATAGCAGGATTCTGAAGGTAGACTAGTCACAGCTCCCCTGGCTAAGAATTATGGATGGTCTAATCCAAGCAACTGTAAAGAATGTCAGGTTGGGTGACTTAGCATCTTTCTCCTGTATCTATGAGATGAGCCACGGTGGCACAGTGGTTAGACTGCAGTACTACAGGCTACTTCTGCTGACTGCTGGCTGCCTGCAATTTGGCAGTTCAAATTTCACCAGGCTCAAGGTTGACTCAGCTTTCCATCCTTCCAAGGTCGGTAAAATGAGGACCCAAATTTATTTATTTGTTTGTTTGTCAAATATGTACAAGATAACAAGTAAGAACATAAACAAGAACAAAGGAAGTAAATACAGATAAATGGGGACAGTAAGACAGGGACTTATGCACACCCCCTTTAAGGACCTCTTAGGAATGGGTGAGGTCCACGGTAGACAGTTTGAGGTTGTTGAAATTGTTGAGGGCGAGAGGCTGACTCCGTAAAACTGCTTAGAGAGGGCTGCAAAGCACTGTAAAGTGGTATATAAGTCTTAAGTGCTATTGCTATCTACCTTGAACTTACTGGGTATGTGCTTACTCACTTAAATTTGAATTCTTGCACTAACAGGGAGTTGGGTTTGTTGATCTTAGTGCCACATCCATTTCTACAGTTCTAAGAATCCTTTTTTTTATTATTATTCCTAAGAATGAAGCGAAAAAGGAGCACCCACCCAGTAGCCTCAATCAACTGGAAGCGGAGGTCATTGTCCATTCGGATTTCTTGGCCTCCAGCCGAGATTGTGGCTCCCAACTCCACATGCTGGACCTGGAAAGGACCCCCTGTAAGGATTGTGAACCAGAAACATTCCCCATGGAAGACCTACCGAAACAGGTGTCTTACCGTTCCTCTCAGCAAGATCTCAGTGTTATATCCCAAGACCAAGACCTCAAGGGTGAGCCTGAAGAACCCGATACATTGCTGAAGATCAAGAAAGAGGCTCCCCGGAGAGCTTCCAAATTACATGGAGCAGATGTGGGGCTCCCCCAGCCTGGAGGAAGCTTGGACGCAGTGGGAAACGGGGACTCTGAGTCATCCCACAAAGGGGCAGTGGACACACAGCCCATCTTGTGCGATGCCCTTCCCACAGCCCAACCACAAGGCTTTCTACATGGTGGCCTCTCTAATAGAATTGACTCGCCTTCCGGGTTTGAAAATGCAGCATGCGTCCACCATCTTTGATGAGAGCTTTGATTAAATTCTTGGCCATGGCAGAGCTAGGAGCAGTGGTGGGATTCAAATCATTTAAACAACCGGTTCTCTGCCCTAACGGTTTCTTCCAACAACCAGTTCACCAAACGGTTCAGAAAGTTAAAATTGGTTCTCCTGAAGTGTTGTGAACCGGTTGAATTGCACCACTGGCTAGGAGAAACAAAATAGCTATTAAGATTAGGTCTTCATGGCACTAAATAATCTCATAATTTGTGATTGGGAAAGGAATGATACTAGCTCCATAAGATTTTATAAGGAGGATCTTCCCCCCATGAAGTATTGTGTCTGCCGTCTCTTCCCCAGCCACTCTGGCAAAGGCTACGGAAAATCAGTGAACGTCATACCAATTATGAGTTAATGTTGTGCCTCCACAAAGATCCAGGAGTAGGCAGCGTAAGGCCTATAAGCTTCCTTCCAGCCCACCAGCTACATACACCATTTTACTACCAGGTGCAGCTGTCACATAACCAGTTGTGTTGGGAAGGCGACTGTTTCATGAGACATCGTGAGGTTGGTCCCAGAGTTGATCTGCTCTTTGGAACGTCGTAACAGATCTTAGGTGCCCTTTTTCTACGTCTCCAAAGGATGAAATGAAGCAGAGATGGAAAGCAATAAGTCAGATGGCCTGAGAAGATTTTGTAGAGTCCCTTGTTCTACTGTCCTAGGTGCTAGGACTAAAGCCAGATGCATTTTTTTTTTTTTTTTTGCCAACACTGTTTTTACTAAGAAGACACATCGGTCTCCAAATGTCCATCACAAACTGAAAAAAAGAAATTTGCATCAGAATAATATACATATGTATTTTTGCAAGGATCTTTTGATTAAGATAATTGTGAAAATATTTCTCTCCCGGGTCTCCAAAACCTATCAAATCTGTTTGAAGTATCAAGCCACTTTCAGCCCCCTTTAAAAATAACTGTCAGCCTCTAGATGTAGAGAGAATGCACCAAAGCAAAGTATGGTTTGTTCATTTGTAGCTTAAGTGTGTTGTGTGACCCACCCACCTTTATGGTGTATAAATCACAGGTTACAGTTGAATGTGGTTTGTCAACCCAGCTAGTTTAGTTTGCAGACTCTGATAAAGCATAACTTGGCTTAGCATGTTGTGTGAACTCAAGCACTGAATCAGAGGAATATTCTCAATTGCCTGAATGTGATTTCCTTTCCTATTAGCATCGGGATGGTTAGAAGTTTAACCAAACACTCAATAAATACATTAATCTTGTCGGCTTCCCACTAGCATGTTCTGGCATTGTGGGTTTGATGAAAGGTGTGGCTAGTGTAAATCACACCAGGACAAAACTGCAGATGTGTTTTGCATTAGATGTGTGTTAGTCTCCTGAAGAGGGACTCTGACTAGGAAACCTGTCATGCAACCAGTGTGTTTGTACCTTAGCTCCATGAAGAAAAGAACTGAAGGTTTTCTTCATGACATAGTTCCATTTTTGGCCAGAGCTGATAAGTTATGAAAAGTACTTGGTGCTGCAGTGATAAATCTTCGGCCCCGTGGCATTCTCTTGAAATGGGCATGCTATAGGTGGAACATAATATACATTCCCTCATTCCAAGATGGACCGTCTTCTATGGACCATTCTTTCAGTGATGAAGTTCTAAAAAAAATCACACATGAATTAGTTTCAGGAACAATGCAGTGGACTGTCTCTACTTGTCTTTGATTTGGAGACCCTACTGATATGATACTTTTCCTGCTGCAATAACATATGGCCCATTGAGTGAAGCCCTCCCCCAGGGATTGGCAGAGGGTCCTCAGCTGGGGACATAACCAAGGACTAAGAGCAATCTTGGAGCAACAGGAAAGTTGAGTAAAGGACTGAAAAACAAATGCGGACATTGTAATCTTCCTGAGTAGTGTTGAACCTACCCATTTGTTTTACTATCCACAGTTGAAGAAACATGGCTAAGTGTGATGCAAGAACCGCAGATTTTCCTCCTTCACCTGGTTAAGAAAATGTGACCCTCACTGGAGTTCCTTGTTATTGTGACTTCAGTCTGCAGGGCACCGAAAGAATTGATTAACTTGCTTAAGGCTTTGAGATGAGACACATCATACACAAAGCCAAAATCAAATTACCTGAATGAATTTACGTTCAGCCAGCCACTTGGTTTGTAAATCATGGTTTACAACCAGCATCTTTCTCAAAGCCAACCACCTGTGGATTCTTCAACACACTATGGTGAAGCAAGCTTTGGTAGGTCCTAGTCCTACCAACCTCGTCTTATCATTTTGGCTGAAATAGGATGGACTGGACTGGACTCCTCCTGGCTGAGAGCTGATGAAGATTAGCATATGGATACGTTCTCCCTGTGGAATCTTTTGAAAAACTAGAGATGATTCAACCATGGTTTTTCACTCTGATGCAACCCGTTTTCTCAACTCTGGAGGTTCCTTCCTTGGAATGCATTTTTTTTTTTAAAAAAAAATAAGAGCTGGCTGTTCCCCTCATATCTTGGGGGATTCCAAGCTGAAAGCCATCTCTCTCACAGCTCTTGTTTCTCTTGTGTAACATGACTCTTTCAAAAGTTAGGCGGGGCAGTTTCTTACTACACACTCTGCGAGTGCTTCTAACAGCTTGTACTGAAAACTTGAGGACTTCCTTCAGCCTCCTGGGATGGGTCCATGACAATTCACCTCAGCCAACTCACTGCAGGGAAAAACCCGCTCTGGGGCCAAGAGTTAACACTAATATCAAAGAAATAGTGGAACAGAATCATTTAAAGAAAGGATGCCAAAGGAGGGACGAAATTATATGTCAATGAATGACAAAAATCCAAATAATGTTTACATTGCTTTAAATAATTAAACAGAATTGTTGAATTGTCCCGCTGCAAGGGTCAAGTGGCGAGTTGGCCATAGCGAGTTGTTGAGTTGGCCGTGTTGAGTTGGCCATGTTGAGTTGGCCGCAGCGGGTTGGCCGTGGTGAATTGACTGCAGTGAGTTGTCCCATCTGGGTTGCTTCACCAATCTGTGCATTTAGTTTAGGAGGCTACTGGGGATTTTCCCCGCACCAGCCCCATGGAAGTAACTGGGATCCGTGCAGGATTCCCTTTCTTTGCATTAGATTTGCAACAGACATTTTTTGCCAATTTAGGCCTCTGAATTCTTGTACCTAATATTTTAGGTATTGGATCTATCTTTTTTTCTCCTTTTTTAACGTATGACAATGTATTTTTTAATTTCTTCAGAGCATCTTATATTATTTAATTTTATATAAAAGAGACGAAAAAAAATAATAGTGTGTGCTCTAGTGTAGCCTTTTTACACCTCTTCTCTATTGTATCTCCCTTCTCCCCTTAACACAACTACCTCATGCTTTTTTTTTGTTTTTTGTTTTTTAAATAAAAATAAAGCAGTAGATTTTGCTCTTTGGTCCCACTCTCTTCTTTCTTTCTCTCTTCTGCTTTAAATGTTTGCAGAATTCACTGATGCATTATGATCAATGTTGCTAAATGATATCAGAAATGGCCAGTATTAAAATAAATAAATAATTGAAACACAATTAGTTAAAAGCAAGACATTTAGATTATAGGGAAGCTGATTTTGTGGCATTGGGATAATTGCCTATTCTGTTTCAGCAGGTTATTCCTGGCTATGAATCAGGGTTTGTCCATTCTTCATCTGTCATATTTAGGTCTAATGCAGAAAGGATATGAAGTGGCCATTTGAAAGCCATATACTTTGGCCAGAGAATGCTGTTTTGTTTCTGGAATTCCTCCGAGTGACAGAAGATTTGATAGCAACTCCCCTTTCGTATCTAAACTGTATCAAATAAAAGGGGTATATATTTATCCCTGACCTGCAGGTTACCAATACTGTACTTGGGGGGGTGGGGAAATAGCCAACAAAGCAAAATAGAATCAAGATCATGTGTAGAAAGAGAACGGTGTTTCATCATAAACAGAAATCAGAGGTCCACTTTTTCAGAGTAACACATTTATTTTGTGTAGCTAACAGAACCCAAGGCCTTTTAATAAATTCAGAGCATATGAAAAGGTGTTACCAAACTTCTGGTTTTAATAATGAATATTCTATTTCCACATTTCCTCCACCTTGCAAAAAATTAAAGTCATCTGAAAGAAGCTGCCACTTTTAACTTATTTCTGTTATAGATTTTTTTTTGTTTTGCTTTTTGATTGAGAAAACTGAACATTGGACAAATGTTTTTAAAAAAAACATAGAGAACAAGAAATCATGTACCCAGAACAAAACCAAAATTTTAACAAGTTTAAAATGTGTGGAATTTCCATATATATATATACATACACCCAGAGACAAATATGGATACATCTGTGATGTTAGGGAGAAATACAACTTCTTCAATATCCATATTCAATATTTCTACTCAGCATGTTTTTTGCACAACAAAAATAAATTTCTTGGTGAAAAATGCCAACTAGATTTGAAGAAATCATGGAGATAGTAAAGATATACTTGAATATGTCCTGTATCCTCAGTTGTAGGGGTTATCAATGTTACTAAATTTGACCAATCCAATTAAATGCACTTTTTTCAATTTCCAGTGTTCTGCAATGACAAATTTTTCAGGTAGCATCAGAAACAAATCAGTTTCTCACATCATATGAACAAAAATGCATTATTTTATTTTAAATTAAATTAAATTTATTTATTTAAATTTAAATTAAATAAGATATAATATAAAATACGAACAGTAAACCAATAGCAGAATTAACTGTGAAAGTTTTCCAATTTCTTGAAATCCTTTGAACCAAAAGGAACGAGTTGGGCTTTGACACACCCAAGTCTGTGCTTACAACTCTGACAATGACATTTAGAAAGGCTCCAATTTACACCGGGTATTTCATAGTTTGATGCCCCCATGTGAACTTTATGGCCAGATCATGAAACCCACTGAAGCAGATTTTATGCTATAATCCGTTCGAATGAGATTCATTGAGTTCAAATCTCAGTTCATTCTCTGAAAGTTTTATAGGGCTTCACCATAACAT